AAGAGTGTCTCACAGGAGTTTTCAACAGGCTGAGTTTTCAACACTGAGCTTCTGCTTAGTTTTCAAAAAAATGGAAGGGGATATGAACTATGTAAACTTCGCATTTGTAGTTGAGCTGATAGAGTGTTTCCTCATAGGCTGAAGAAGGATGCTGCTTTTCCAAATCGAATGTGCAATAACTAGAATACATGTGGTTTAAAAAAAATAATAATTGAAAAAGCTTTTATTGCTTTCCTAAAAACACCCCATCCACCCCCCCCAACTTGTCTTACCAGACTTTGTTACTAAAATATAGTGGTTTCTCTTCTTGAGATAGAAACAGAATTGTATTAATAGAGAGTATGCAAAAAACTCCTAAGTTAGTCATTGGCGAGGGGGTAAGTATAAGTTGTTACTTCCACTTCGTTAATAATTACGCTGGTACCAGTTACTTGTTTCTGTCTAAAGAGTGATTTATTTTCTCAACTATGGAACAGGTATAGTGAATTGGATAGAAGTGGCCACCTAGAATATTGTGAAATTTCTATTTGATGTACTGGCTGCCAGTATTCTCACTGAAGTAAACACTGACTCATGGAATCAATATGCTTGTAACTTCTTCAGCTGAGCTCGGCTTTAGCTTGAGTCCTAATGAGGCCTGAATTGTCTGGTGCCTCAAAGAAGACTAGTTTGTGCAGATTTTTCTGCTCTTGTATTTTAACTACTACAACCCATCCATTTGGTTCAGATGTGCTCCATAGTTCTTTACCATTAAGTAAGCAGGATATCTCCTTATTTCTCCATGGAGGGCAAAATGCCTTTGCTTTCCCATTTTCTTACATATTGGTTCTCAAGCTTGTTTACAGGCCTCTGGTGGCACATCTGAGTAGTGTATAAAGCAGGATGCTTGCTAAGTTCTGGGTGAGGAATTTCTGTCTAGCTAACAACTTGGAAATCATTTTGAGTCAAAGTAGAGTAAGAGAAACTGAAGTAGAAATCTCTGAAATATTGTTACCTGTTTTTCTAAATATTAAAAAACCCCCAACTTTCTGTAGACAGAAAACTATGGTTAAGTTTATTTTTTACTATATCCTGCACTGTAAGGTGTCTATCCTGTCTCTGTGTCACTGTTGTCCCTTAAACCCTGAAATGTGTCCTACACTCAGATTTGAATTGATTAGATTTACCTCCTTCATGAGAAAACAAACTAGGTTTTCTTCTAGATGCCTAGACTTCCAGGAGTTCCCTTAAGCTTAGTTTTTTCACTAAATCTTCATGGCTTCTGACTTCCTCACAGAAGGATTTTTTAAATGGGTGGTCCAGGCTTTAATTTGAGTTGTCATGAATAAATAATTCTGTGCCTGAATTATAATACTGTGAAGCTGAAGGGTCATAAAATAATTTCAAGGACTTTTGATTTTATGCATTGATTTAATCTAAGTTCTGGTGTGGGACTTAGCCCTCCGAGTTGCTTTGTACTTCACCTTTGCCTTAGTCTTTATTAGATGCTCTGACATAAAACATCTTTCACTGAGACCTTGTACTTCAAAGTAAATAAAAACTTGTATATTAAAGTCTGATCCATGTAAAGGCATAGCATTACTTAAAAACAGTATTCCAATCAAACTCTTTGAATAGGGAAATGAAAGAAATAACACCTGGTTGTAGTACTCCAATTAGCATGGCTAGAGGTAAGAGTGGATTGAGACTGAAAAGTTGATTGCAGAAAATAATCCTGTTAAGCTGAGAATTCTCTAGCATGAATTGGAGTATTTGGGTGAAAGGTTTTGAGAATGGATTTTTATGAGCCATCTTTAGTGATAATCTGTTTTGAAGAGAGGGTGCGGAAAGGAAGAGGAGATGGTTCCTTATTACTGTGGAGTTAAAAGTGCTTAATCATAGAAACAATCAAGTAATATGCCTGTCCTGTAAGGCATGGTGAGGAGGTTTAGGAGGTGATGCTGCCAATTCATCAGACTTTCAACCTATTTTGACTCCTTCAAAAACAGTTATAGGTCTTGTGACCATAAAATCATTTTGGTTTCCATCCAATTCAGTGAACGGCATAAAGCTGTTCCTGTTTTCTAGTTCTTTACCTTACAGTCTTTCAGAGTGATGATTTTTCTGAACTACAATGATTTATAATATGTAATGCTAATACACTTATCTGATTTAAAGTCAGTTTCTTCTCTTACAAAGATAACCTCCACCTGTTCATTTCCTTTTCTTTTGGTGGAAGAGCATTTCTTTGTTTAGGAGGTTGATAGTGAGAGGTTGTAGTTCCTTTATATCCTATTTACTCATCTTTGTCTGTCTTGATCCTTTGATGTATAACTGGCATGCGTTGTCCAGCTAAAGGTGCTATGCATGTCAACAAGAAACATCTTCAAAGTTGACATAGTCCAGAGGACACTGTTGTCTTAGTGCAGTCACAATCTGTGTCAGATTTTTGTTTTGTTGGGGTGAGGACAAACAATCTGAAAGTATATTGTGAACATTTACGTAGTTCTGTTGTATGTATTAATACTGAAGTGTATGTAGGTCAAAATCATTAACTTAAATGTAGACAAGTCATTTTATCATCAGCCACACTTAGTGTAATTTTTGGAAAATGAATGGTAAGAATTTGAATAGAGCAAACCAGAAACATTATAAAAAGTGTAGCTTTTTGAAAGAGAGACCAATAGAAGATTACAGTAGTTGGAGAAGTTCCTGATAGAATTAAACCCAAATACATAAAAATCCTATTCTAGGTCAGGCACTTTTTCATATTCCTTTTACACCCATGACATCTTTATCAGGTCTTCTTCAACAGACCATTTAGAGCTAAGGAGTTTCAGGAGCTGCATATTAGTCAAAACCACTCTTCTGAGATAAGCCCACTGTTCTGCAACTTGTCAGAGCTGTACGAAAGATTAGTTTCACCCTTTGGTAAAATGTTTTGTATATTGGCCATGGGTTCGAATACTACAGCTCTAAAAAATTGTTATCAGGTATTTTAATACTGAAATACCTTGTAGGTAGTTATTCTTCTGTAATGGCACTTCACCAGGGAGGTGAGCTCTTTGTCCTATCTTCCATATGATTCTTTTGTAGCAAAAAAGATCCTCTAGAGATCCCTCGTAGTGGCCAAGCATGGAGTTATGGTACAGCAAGAAATCATCGAGTCATGCAGTTGCATGCTTTTAAAAATGCTGACTTAGCAGTTGGTGATTACTAGCCCGTTTTCAAAGTCATTTTCAGTGGCTTATCTTTTTCTTTTCTTTTGGAGAAGAGAGAATGAATTTTAAGAGTCAGGGTATGTCCATAGTGATAATGCATAGTTTTTTTGAAACGGGAGACGGGTACAGTGGGAACGATCAGACAAGCTTAATAACAAGCATAGGAGTTCTAGTGTGTCTCTGTTTATGGTTGTTTCTAATATGTGTTGTGAAGTAGATGTTAAATGAGAGTGTGTAGCAGTTAAACATGTTAATACAACTGAGTGATGCAATTAAATTTTTATATCCAAAATGTAGTACTTGTACTTTATTCAAGGAAGTGAAGAAGGTTCCAGAAAAATATTTACCTTTGTGATGCAAATCCTAGACTATTAAAGTCTTAGAACAAATCAAAGTCAAGTCAGGTATCTGTAATAGTTGTACAGGGAAAACAGTGATTTCAAAATTCATGCAGAAATACTGGCCATACATGTTATCATCTAAAGGCTTCTGTGATCAATATAACATTAAGCAACATTTTGTCTTCTGTGATAGGGTGGACTGAAAAATAGCAAGCATGAATGCACTCTGTCCTCACAAGAATATATTCATGAATTGCGATCTGGAATTTCAGAGGAAAAGCTTCTTAATTGTCTAGAGTCTTTGAGAGTGTCTCTAACTAGCAATCCAGTCAGGTAAGTAATACTTTTTGCTGTAGTTTTCATTGTGCTGTTTTTACTAAATGATAAAGAGTTTTGGGTTTTGTGTGGGTTGTGTTTGTTTGTGTGTGGTTTTTTTTTTTTTTCACCCAAAGTAATTATGCTAATGCTTGTTGGCATGCAGAAGTAGTTCTCAGCACACTGGAAAATGTTTGCAACTGTCTGCAGTATCTTCTCACCTTTCACAGTGGTTCTCAACAACTTCTAGTTGTTGGAACTACGCATTTGTCTTAAGGGTTGATCAGGTCTTCCTGGGAGGTGAGTCTTAAAGCAGCGTCTATATACAAGCAGTATTGGAAACATAACTTTGCAAGTTTTCCATTTGATTTAGAAATAATTAAAAGTATTTTTCTTCCTTTTCCCAGCTGGGTTAACAATTTTGGACATGAAGGTCTTGGACTCCTGTTGGATGTATTGGAAAAGCTTCTGGACAAGAAACAGTAAGGACTTGGATCATTTGAAGGGAGGGGGTGAGGGAGCTTGTGAAGATTGTTGATACTTAAGTTATTTTCCTCCTCCCTTTCAAGGCAGGAAAGTATTGATAAGAAGAATCAACATAAACTTATCCAGTGCCTCAGAGCATTTATGAACAATAAAGTAAGAAATATTTTAAATTCAAATACTTCTGGTATGATTTTTTTTTTTGTTGACCTCAACATCTATGTAGCATGTTGAATCTCAGAAAAGGAAGGAAAGCTTGTATATCCAGTGTCAGCTGACTCTTTGAAAATGTAGGTCTTAAAGTTAGTGTAACTTCTTGTTGAGAGTCTATTCATAAGCCTTTCTAAATATTCATTTTGTCTTAGTTCTGCTAAATATTATTCATTTTTGGAAGTAAAATATTTTGCAAACAGAGGATGATAGAATGGATTTAAGATAAATGAAATGGGAAATTAATTACTTGTGAAATTGAAAGAAAAATATTTCTTTTGAAATTCAGATTTCCATACATGATTGTTTTTGTTAATATAGTATACTTTTCGCCTGATTTTAAATTGTATATGATTTAATTTCTTTTTAGCTACAGTTTTTAATTTGGTAGGTAGTGGATAAAGGATAACTTTGGTCTAGTTTAAATTGTATCTAACTTGGTTCTAACATTAGTAACCCACGTTCACAAAGTGTGAGTACTGTTTGTAGAAGTTGATGTGTTAAACTTGTACTTTTGCTTTATTCGTAGCAAAATTGCA